TGCATGCGTGCGTGCGCGCGCGCGTGTGTGTGTGTGTGTGGTCTTTGTGGATATAATGCTTTCTTAATATCTTCTTATTATTAGATTGCGAATTGATTATTTATAGAATTATTCATTTATTTAGTAATTCGCCGTTACATAATAATGCTAATATCCTAATACACAAAAGCCGATATTGCAGCTCATTTTTGCTTTTGAACATTTCGAAACATTTTTAATGTACATTTTATTATTTAATTATACTTCTTCATTTTATTTAAACTTGAGCGTATTATCATATGAGTATATACATGCTTAAGTTGTTTTTTAACATTTTATTTAACTGTACAAACATTTTGAAATGAGTTATGTAAACAATATGTTATTTTTTTTAATGTAGTAAACATGTTGACAGTGCGATTTCTTTTTTGAAATTTTTATATCGAAATGGTTATTCGATAAGCCGGTTGTAGCTTTACTGCTAATTTATGTTCACGTTAATATAGATTTTTGATAGCAGTCACAAATATGGAAAAAGTTATATGTATACATTTGCATACATTTTGCAATATTAACTGCAATATTTTTTGGTATAATTAAGTGCACCGATATAATTTTAGACATGATAGATGCATCTCATAATCCTTGAATACCAATTACTAGAAAAATATCAATTTAAATTCAAATAATTCGAACTCATAAAAACTTTCATGTTACATCCCTTGTTACTATATTACGCGTAAACTTTCTAAAATGTTTTACAGCAAATTATCTACTTGCATATAATGTTTTAGAATTTTTAGGATTTTCGGATTGTCTTTCGTGTGAGAACTCGAAAAATATTCTAAGTCTTGTTTAACATATTTGAATAATAATTAGCCTTTGAAATAAAATGCAATAATAGAAAATATGTCTAGATGCTCAATATGTATATTTGTACTTTTAAGTTCGTACCTTTTCTATATATGTGGTTAATGTATGCTCTGCTGCTATAGAGGCTTAAAATTTATGGAGATTTTAAAATTCTTTTTATTTTTTTTGTAGATCAATTCTTTCCTTTATGTAACAGCTGTAACAGATAACTCTTATTGTCATATGTACAACACAGATAGAAAAAACACGAAAAAATATTTTATTATAAAATCTCATGGTCTTTTAAATTCTTTATGTAATATTTAATATTCTATTTTTAAATCTTCCGAATTATTAATCGAGTATTATGTATTATTTACTGCTTTATCCATCATTGTTGAGTTGATTCTGATATCGGATACTCTAAAGTATATGGCAAACTAAATTTTGAGACTTTTAATTTCTATTGAACAAATGTTGATGCTTTTATTATTTCATGATCCATATTTTGTATCATATAAATTCATGTTTTGTATCCATGTTTTGTATTAGTCATATAAATCAATTTCCTGTTCGTCTTGCAGAATCATTCAATGTGTGACATTATTATTTGCAACATTTTTTTATATAATGACCAAACACTTATTTCTTGTAAGATATTACAAATTAAATTGCATGAAATGAAAAATTCACAATTTGAAACTTTGAAATTTAAATTTAAGATTCAAGTTTAGAATATGGACTTTGCTTATTATATAATATAATACACACTTAGAGTGAAATAAAAGCGCTATCATATCGTCATTTAATTTACAAAATAAAAATATTTTAAATAAAAAATTAAAATGTGAATCTTAGCAGTTATTAGTGTGTAAATTATACAAAGTAGTTTAAAAATTCGGAAACACACAACCAACATCAGAAAATAAATTATTTTTTAGAAAAAATGTTTTATGCATATATAAAATTTAGTTTTATTAAGTAGAGTTTTATTAAATAACGCATTATATAGCGATGTAATTGTAATTTTTAGCTTAAAAAGTTGTAAGGTTTTATTAAGTAATTTATTATATATAGCAATGTAATTGTGGTCTAGAAAGCTTTGTTAAAGTCAAATAAAAATCAATTTAAAAATTTTAAGTAAGAACTTCCATTTTTTTTGCAAATTTATTTGCAGCTTATTTCAAGAGCTTTTCAAAATAATATAATATTTTTTTCGTTACATATCTTTCGAATTATGAAGTTTGAAAGATAAGATATCGTCGGCCACACATGTTCAAATAATATTAATCATCATTTATTTGTACAAGTTTGTTGGAACATGTGTGCTAATTTACAGTAACTGCGCAGTTTTGTCACACATACGCTCCAATAAATTTGTACAAGCGCCTGCGTATGCATATTTGACACAGTGGCGGATTAAATATTTTGCCGCCCTAGGCACCAACATTTAGCCGTCTTAGGTGGCTTCATTAATTTATAAATTTGATAAAAAAGAAATGGACAAAAAAATGATTTATATTTTCGCATTAGCTGATAAAAAAATTTAATAATTTTGAAGTATAAGTAATATAAATATAATACATTTTTAACTGTATTTTAAAATATAATATCATTTCTGATAAAATATGCTCGATATAACTCATACAAAAATGTTAGATTAATAAATTAAAAATTTATCTCAACTATGTGAAAATTTTCTGTCCAAACATTTGCCGCTCTAGGCAAGTGCCTTGTTTGCCTGCGTTAATTCATAACTGATTTGACAAGTTTACTTGTACGTGCGTGGCTGACCTTAGCATTATCCAAGGTTCGACTTTTATTTATTAGGCACGTTCAAGCCGGATAAAACTGTTAGCATTCTCGTCGACCGATTGAATGTGATTGGTTGGATCTATAAGTAACAACCAATCATATTCATTTGCTCGGTGAATAGGCTAGCCGCTTTGTCGACTTGAACGCGCCTATTAGCTAAAATCTTTTGAATGTTGTTCAGAGTCATAATCTTGGCAATTTATATACGTCAAAAATAAAATCAATGAGAATTGTTTTTCTTCTTTTTATTTTTACGCAAAAAAACTCATCGGAATAACATCTATTCTTTTTTTTATCTTGACAAGTAAATTTATTATCAAACACAACTTTACCGTTAATAAATATGTAATTACTTTATGTATATTTAATTTACGCATTAACAATTGCTGATACTCACCTAGATATTTCTATTTTGTATTTAATTTGTTCTTGGAATCAAATATTATTATTTTGTTTTAATTTTTTTTAAATATTATAAAAATAACTGATACTGAAAAAATTCATAGAACAAAAATTTATTACTGTTATTTTTTATCTTGTGTATTTTTTGTACATTTTTAATGTACTTAACAGATTGTTGAAATAGACACAATGATGCAAATGCAAAATCGATAAAGATTGTATTTATGCATAAATGTAGTACATACATTTTTCTATTTTTTATTAAAATCATTTAGTATTTTATAGGTAATGCTTACATCGCAATACTGCAAGTATAAATCAGTAGGGGCGACCGCGGTTAGTAGACTCATTTTTCAGTTTCGAATTTTTACAGATGAAATTAAGAGACTTATCGAAAAAATGAATTCTACATCAATTACTACATACATTTAACTGTTTAATAATACATATTTTAATAATAAGGAGAAAGTGATAACTAATATGAAAAAAATACATTTTTTAAATACATTCTGAGTCAACTAGCTCCGGGACGGGGTTAAGATGACTAATGGTACGAGATAATTTTACTAAGATTATTAAAATGAAGATTAATGTATTTTAAGCTACATATTTGATTATATATTAATAAAACTTCTATAAAAATATATTTTAAACACAAATATTTATTTCGCAGGGAAGAACAAATTTGTTCGTTTCGTGCAAAAACACATCGAATGCGGCTAGTTTTATCGAAATTGAACATGAGGGAAACTTATAACATTTACCACTGAGGTAAATTTCTTTAATGGAATGAAATATTAAATAGTATTATAAGAATCGTCACTAAATGAGTCATATAGCCCTATGCTGTAGTTAGCCTACTATCTCTATCCGTTTATTTTTTTAAAAACATTAACAGTATATGATACAAAAATACATAAATAAAAAAAACTGTTAGATTTTATTAAGTAAGAACTACACTGACTATCTAAATAGAAATATTTCAGACAATCATATACGATTATAAAACAAAAAATTTTGAGAATAAAAATATTTACTTACGTATACGATTTTTTAAAATTATAGCGTAACTTCTATAATAGATGTATTCGCAACGAGATGTTACAGCAGACTGAGTGACAGTTGCTGCTATGAGTGCTCAGACGCATTCACGCGTGTCTTATATGTTTTGTTTTTAACGAGCCTTGATTATTTTATTACTTTTATAATTTACAGTGCATCTATCAGTGGAACAAAGTCGGTATACATTCCGATCGGAATTATTCCATTTTCCTCAGAAAATACAATAGAAATTTAGGGAATAATTGAATAATTCTGATCGGAATCCATTCCAATTTTGTTTCATGATAGGTGTTCTCATCCCAATCTCCCCTATATTACATCTTTTTGGTTAGCAAATATCGATTATTCCATTCACAAGAATTTTTTCTATTACGATGAATTTTTAAAATACTCTTATTCCGTATTAAATAATATTGTACAAATTTTTTTTAAACTTTTAGAAGTGACATAAAATACAAAATATAAATAGGTTAAGTAAAAAAGGAGCATACAGCCACACTCGAGATGTCAATAAGTTATATATTAATAATAAACATTCAACAAAGTAGGCGTTTCGGTCACCATCTGACCATCCTCAGTACAATAATAAAAACCTAAATTTATTTAAACCTAGTTACATAATTTAAATTTATTCCTAATGTTAGTCAGTAATAATTTCTCGCTTCTTATTGTGCATTATTCGCCTCGGTATCCGCATTTAACAATATAACATTTTGCAATATAATACAAAAACATGATTTTTGACAGAATTAACAGTAGACCGTCCAGTATTCTTTTTTAATTTGTTGTGTGGAATCATTTTATTACTCTAAGCAATCCACCCCGATTGTAATCATTATCACGCTATTTCAAATACGACGACGAACCGCCACAAAGAGACACGCAAGTGCCAACTTCTATTGCAAACAATTTTTTTAACAATTTACATTAATTCTCGTATTCATTAAGAATTTCCGATCAGATGATATTATTTGACAGACAATCAGTAGACTTACGCGTATCCTGCGGCACGGGACTCCCTCGCATACCGAAACCTGACAATTTTAATCACTTGAAATTCGGCACAATCGCAATGCCAAAAGCCCAATTGTTAGTCTATTTATAGAAATAAAGGAAAGGAGAAGGAGAAATAGGAAAAAGAAGGGGAAGTGGAGGAAATTTTTTGAGTGGGGCTAGAATTATTGTTCCAAGCGAGGAAGGTACAGGTCTGGAAACCGCTCGGTATCACTTTGTTTATTTAATCCTTTCTTTTGCGTTTTAATATGGATCATTTCTGATATACTTCTTTTGTAATAGGAACGTTCGGAGTCTAATATTTTTGTATTATCCCAGTTCATTCTATGATCTTTGTCAATTCTATGATTTGAAATAACAGAAAGAGACTCGATAGGTTTTTTTACATCATTAATATATTCTTTTAGTCGCGTTTTTAATTTTCTTTTAGTTTGACCTACATATGAATAATTATAGTCTTTGCACGGGCAAAGATAAGGTTAATAAAGACGAACGTTCTAACATTGTATACAAAATTGAGTGCAAAGACTGTAATTATTCATATGTAGGTCAAACTAAAAGAAAATTAAAAACGCGACTAAAAAAATATATTAATGATGTAAAAAAACCTATCGAGTCTCTTTCTGTTATTTCAAATCATAGAATTGACAAAGATCATAGAATGAACTGGGATAATACAAAAATATTAGACTCCGAACGTTCCTATTACAAAAGAAGTATATCAGAAATGATCCATATTAAAACGCAAAAGAAAGGATTAAATAAACAAAGTGATACCGAGCGGTTTCCAGACTTGTACCTCCCTCTCCTGAAACAATTCTAGCCCCACTCAAAAAATTTCCACTTCCCCTTCTTTTTCTTATTCTCCTTCTCCTTTCCTTTATTTCTATAAATAGACTAACAATTGGGCATGTGGCATTGCGATTGTGCCGAATTTCAAGTGATTAAAATTGTCAGGTTTCGGTATGCGAGGGAGTCCCGTGCCGCAGGATACGCGTAAGTCTACTGATTGTCTGTCAAATAATATCATCTGATCGGAAATTCTTAATGAATACGAGAATTAATGTAAATTGTTAAAAAAATTGTTTGCAATAGAAGTTGGCACTTGCGTGTCTCTTTGTGACGGTTCGTCATCGTATTTGGAACTTGATATAGCGTGATAATGATTACAATCGGGGTGGATTGCTTAGAGTAATAAAATGATTCCATACAACAAATTAAAGAAGAATACTGGACGGTCTACTGTTAATTCTGTCAAAAATCATGTTTTTGTACTATATTGCAAAATGTTATATTGTTAAATGCGGATACCGAGGCGAATAATGCACAATAAGAAGCGAGAAATTATTACTGACTAACATTAGGAATCAATTTAAATTATGTAACTAGGTTTAAATAAATTTACGTTTTTATTATTGTACTGAGGATGGTCAGATGGTGACCGAAACGTCTACTTTGTTGAATGTTTTTTATTAATATATAACTTATTGACATCTCGAGTGTGGCTGTATGCTCCTTTTTTACTTAACCTTCTTAACATTGAGCCACTTTATAATATTGACAAAATATAAATAATAGGGAGCATACAACCACAGTACTAGATGTTTTAAAGTTATATATTTAAAATTATATTATGATAAAGTAGACGTTTCGGTCAAGATTTGATCATCATCAATACATTAGAGATATAAAGATGTTACATAAATTAAAGAATATTGACAATAAACACTAGTCAAGAATTGATGGTGAAACAATTTTACATTCGCTTATAAAACGAGTTAACAGAGTTGTAAGTCCAGAATTGAAGATGACAAATTTTGCAATCGCTTATGAAACAGATTTCTATTGCGTTATGAATTTCTTATTATTAAAAGCTATGTGAAACTTCGTGTGAGAAATACTCGTGTGAGAAGTCTCACATAGCTTCTAGTAATAAGGAATTCATAACGCAAAAGAAATCTGTTTCATAAGCGATTGCAAAGTTCGTCATCTTCAATTCTGGACTTACAACTCGTTTGATAAGCGAATGTATAATTATAATTAAAATTATAATTATAATACAATATATTATTATAATTAGCTCCATGATATGTCATCAAATTAATTAACATTTAATATATTTAACGCGACAGATATGCAAAATATTATATATAGAGAAAGAAGAAAACATAATACAATTGAATTGCAGAAATGGTACGGCGTTGAAGTATGATTAGAAGATTTCAAGATTTGACAATTGTTTTGTTAAATTTTTAAATTTTTGTCCAATAAATAAAATGTTTAATTTGTTCGATGGAAATTTTTTGCAAATAAAACACAACATATTTTTATTTCACATCTATTTAAAAATATTTTTTAACTACTCTATATATATAATATAATTAAAAATTTTAAATTATATATCATGTAACGTCAGAATATTAAAAAGCTTTTTATTTTCTACATATCTTTTGTGTTATTTACAAATTTATAAATTTGACTGACATTTGAATTATTTCTTTCATTTAAGTCTTTTCGAAAATTGTATTACAAATGATATATCGTATTTATACGTTTGTACTATTAT